AGCTCACTCAAGAATTCCGGTGGCAACGCCTCCTCCGTCTGACCAGGTATGATGGGTGCCATGACCTAGAAAGGCCGTTGGATTTGGATGATCAGTCAGCGCATCCAGAGAACCACAAGCGAGGCCATCGCCACTGGGTTGAGAGCTTTTCACCAGGGCACCTTGCATGGCCTCACCGGACATTGTCCTTTGTGTGGAGTTGAGTTGACCTTCATCCACCTTTTGTGGCAGTGCTCCTTTTGGCAAGGAAGGGTCAAGCCACTTTCCAAGGAATGGACCAATCGCCTGTAGGTTGGCACAGATCCCGAGCTTTGGCAGAGAGGCTTGGTTCAGCGCATTTTCTATGAGCCGGAAGAAGGTTCTTCCACCCTGGAAGGCACCGGGGTATGGAAAGATCTGGGGCACCTCAGACTGCAGAAGGGTCACATATGCTCCATCGCTGTGGCACCCACCTGTGGTGATAAAAGGCACAAGCGCTTTGCTTTTGCAATCTGTGTGCACCTGACCACCAACAAGCAGCAAGTCGGCTCCATCACGGGCATCTGTCCTGGCCCCGCCACCAAACAGAGGGCCATCTTCTATGCCATGAAGCAGCTTGCTCTGCATGTCTTGGAGAAGACTCCAGTGGCACTATATGACGCAGCCGCTTGGAAGAATTGGAAGCCGCATGTTGCCTTTGAAACCTTTCCGGATCTTTTCACGGGCCTCGAATTTGAAGATTTCGATCATGTTTGGCCTCTCCTTTTCTCCCGAGCTGAACTGGAGCAGAATGATATGAGACGAGTCACTCAGAACGACACCCAGAAGGCGGCAGACAACACGGGCAAGCTCTTTGAACCAAAGGAGATCCTCGACTTGCAATCACACATAGATGATGATGCCCATGCCATCCTTCTCAGTGCAGGTGAGCGAATGAGCATTCTGCTCAGGTGCAAAGAGCATTTCCTGCACCGCAAGGAAGCCGACGTCCAACAGAAGATCCCGCTTGTTCAGCAAAAGAAGGAGATCCTGCAAGATCTTTTGCACAAGACTTCTCACATGGGCCATCAATGGGAGGTCTTCAGAAGTGGCATCCAATGCCGCGTGTGCCGCTTGCGCTACCACAGCAAGAGTCTCCTGAGTGAGTTGAAGGAAGCCTCAGACAAACCTTGCCAACAAGAAGTCCGCCCTAGCCCACCGAAGCAGACAAGGATGGAGATGATCCATGCCCTGATAGCTGCCCAGCAAGGCCCACAACAAGGAGTCCATCACTTACAGTTGGACCGTGCCTACCTGAGGTGCTCAGTCTGTCGGTGCTACATCTTAGCCAGGACCAATGAGGAAGCTTTCAGCCGGTTTGTGGGAGAACCATGCTACCATGGACCACTGGAAGCAAGCCTTTGGGAAGGCCACGGGTCGCACACTATGGTGCGCACCGGCCACACTTTGGAGTGCTCGCGATGTCACGCACGCACTCGAATATCGGAAGGCATTCCGGTACTGACCAGCAGGCTTAGAGCCCGCTGCGTGTACATGCGCCAGAGAGACCTGCGACAGATGTTCGCATAACCTCATGCAGTCCCAAAAGGCGCGCAAAAAAATATATATAAATAGAAACAATAATCGGCGGGCTGCCGCCCGTTGCTGCCGACCAGGCTCATTTTGTGGCCCCAAAGCTGGACGGGTTTACGTTCCAATGACTTGTTGCCAATCCAAGAAATGCATACTATGTACGAGCAATTGTTTTTCCTGGGGCCACAGAATTTGTCGGACATCTTTGCAATGGAGCGCAGATGGGCTTCTCAAAGCAGAGCCAGCGCCAGAAGATGAAGAGTGAGAGTTGGCAACTGGCATCTCTGAAGATCTTTAAACTTTACCACAACACGCTTGTGGACTGGAGGCTACAGGTTGTGCTACGGGTGTAGCTGCAGTCAATCACAGTGGCCTTTGGTCGACGTTCATGGCTTGGAATAGTGAGGAACGTTTGCTGCAGCGGAAGGACGACAGTAATGCAGGACCAGAGGCCCAAGACCGCGGCCTGTCAGGTACAGGCTAAGCTGGTTCGAGTGAAAGGCCAAACACTCTTCAATCGAGTGTCTTTGGCTGGGAAAGGCGACATAAGCACGTCAAACAGCCAAGATTGGGTAGGATCGATCCGTTTTGGAGAACAAATTGCAACTCAAAAGCGAGAAGTTGATAGCAGCAAGTCCATTACCTGGACATGCGTCACTCCAGAAAGTGGCTGGATTGTAGGGAAATTGGATCGCCTGTTTGAGCTCACGTTCCTGTTTCGCCAGTGTTTGTGTATTGGGAAGTGCCCATGCGTGTGTGTCAAACTCTGTCCCTAAGAGTTTTGCTCATTTTCGCTTGCTTCAATTCTTTAAGCAGGGGGCTCACGGGTTTGTTCCTGGCGTGAGCCAACGAAGCTCCAGGTTCAAACTAGGATATCGAGAGGGGACGCTCTCTCGACGTACCTGCACTTGAGTCTTTTGAGAACCTAGGTATTGCACAAACTGTTCCCATTCGGTGTTGCGCACTAAAGTGTTAATAGTTAATGCGGCCAACGAGTTCGTCGATCCAGCTTCTGAAACTTTGCTCATTCAGTTGAGCTCTTTATCTCAGTGTGTGTGTAGCCCTTGGATTCAGAGGGAGCCTGTGGTCTTTTGAGTACTGTTACTTGGCAGGCCCATCGTGGATACCTGTGCCAACGAAACTATTCCACGATGGTGGAAGCGGAGATTGATCACCTCTGTGTACCTGCTGATGGTTTGTGGCGCTCGTAGATACATCCCACTCTAATTGCCAGGCTGGCTAGGTACATCAGGTCTGCAGACACGCGCTTATCGTTTTTCCGTTCGAACTTGCAACACTGTACTCGCTTTGAGACTTGCCTTGTGGAAACTTGGAAGTTTGGGACTTGCACTTCAGGCCGTTGGAGGTTCATGTGTGTCTGACTTTATGCCAGCCTAGGGCGTACCCGGAGAGCAGAATAGTCCGTAGCGGACGGAGTAGTCTTATGCCCTGCCACCTTGGATTGTGCTTGAACGTCACAAGTAGTCCGCAGCGGACGAGAGCAGCCCGCCATTTTGGCATGGCAAGAGCGGCCGCATTTTCTTCGGTCCAAAATTTATGAGGCTTACGCCTGACAGCCGGGCGCCGGCCAAGCAGGGTGAGGGTTTGTGTTCAACGGTTTCGCTCTTGGCCCTAGGTTGGGCCAAGTTGAGCCCATGTGGTCTACGTTAGGCACATCTTGGGCCCAAGTTGAGCCTATGTTGGGCCTAGGTCGGCCTATGTTAGGCCTATGTTGGCCTAGGTTGGGCCTATGTTGGGCCTATGTTGGCGTATGTTGGCCCCATGTTGGCATATGTCGGCCCTATGTTGAGCCATCTTGGAGGCTATGTTGGGCATATGTTGGCTATCTTGGGCCTATGTTGGGGAAATGTTAGGCAACTTCTGTGCCCAACACCCACGAAATGTCGATTAAGCCCGTCCGCGCGGCACGCATAACCGACACCACCAGTGCCCTGTTAGACGCAAGTCATGTCCGCCGAAGGCCACGAAACACTGTAAAAAACGATGTTTTCCACATCATGCGCAATCATGCTGGTAGATAAAATATAAATAACATAAAAATCCGTCAAAAATCTGTCGACACGCTTCGGGCGGGGGTATACACGCGGTCCAACAAAAGGGTCGGCGGCAGGGGCGGCGAGCGTATATAACCTTCGGTTACCACCGAAGGCCTCCGGCAAGGACACGGGCCCGTGGCCGGCGCCCGGATTGTAAGGGCTTCGCCCTGGTGCCGCCGACCCCTTTGCTGCCTGCTGACGTCGCCTGGCACGTCGCCTTCGGGAGCCCATAAAACAGTTGCCTGGCATTGCCAGACTCACTCCCAAGGCTCCAGCAATCTGTGTGCCAGCGGCTCGTTGCCTTCAGGGGCCCATAAAACAGTTGCCTGGCATTGCCAGAGGCTCACTCCCAAGGCTCCGCCAATCTGTGTCGCCACAGCTTTCAGGGGGGTGCACGCGTGCGGCAAACCAGCGGGTTTCGCAGTGAGGGCTCTAGTTGCCTGGCATCACTCCCAAGGCTCCGGCTCAAAAAAGCCAACAGCCCACGGGGTGGTGGCTCGGCCAGGACATGAACCGCCCACGGCTTGGTGGTAGTGCCAGGACATGAAAGCAGAGGTAGAGATGCCAATGCCAATGTTGCACCCTGCGGTGTCTCGGGCGCCTCCCCGCCTAGGCTTTGGCTAGGCCGGGGTCGGCGGAGAAATCGAATTGGGATCAGACTATCCCTGTCCCTCTCCTTTCGAAACAGCTTGCCCTACTTGGCCATGAGCCCCATAGCATCAAAAAAGGTTCCGTGTTGAAGGCCTCGAAGCGGGACCATTTAGTTTCACGCAGATGGACAACGTCGACCACCCAGCGCATGCCTAACGGGGCCTTAACGTCACCTTTGAAGCCGGGCACCCACAGTTTACTATGCCTATCACGGCTTTCAAACAGGGCTTTCAAACACGTGGAAAGGCGCCCAATATAGATCCAGAGTTCATTCCATATTTAACCAGCTGGCCTCCAAACGGGATTAGACCATTTAGACCGAAACAACCAAAATCGACCCCAACGGAGGCAACGTGGCCTAGCGTGGAATTTGACTAAGAGCCCCTGCTCCGATATAACCCTGCCTATAAAGGCCTCTTCAACCATTGACCAGGCTCACCTGAAAGGCTCCATCCCACGAGCGCTGGATCTGGCACCTCCCCGGTCCAAACCTGGGTCGGCGGATACAAAATAGAAAGATAAGGGGCATAATACTTTTGTAGCCCAGGGCAGTCTTGACTCACCTGCGCACCCTGTTTGATCAATGCAGTTTGTACTGTAACCGTACACATGCTGACAGACACACACACACACACACTCACACTGATGTGAATGTATGCATGTTTAGGAGGCAGAGGGAGAGGGAGCAGAGCAGAACCCTTCATTCAATGAAAGATTCTTTCCAACGTCATATTTTTTGAGGCTCTTGAAAGGTCAGCTGCTGATGAAGAATTCGGACGTCTTTTTGGCCGCTTACCTAGACAGGTTTCACCACAAGAGAAGATTCATTTCGATCCTTTACTTCTCAGATGTCGATGGCAAAATCTTTGACTTGGCAAGGATCCCAGCTGGGGAACTGACGTGAATAGCATAATATTAATATTAATATTCCATATCATCCTAGAAATTGACCTGGCTGAACTGTTTCTATTCCAGTTTGGGGGTCTTGACTAAGTTGAATATCGTGGACACGGGCAATCCTTTGCCCCGCGACTTGGACCCTGCCTTGCTATGGCCGTGGCCTTGGTCGTGTGTTTTATGTCAGTGCAGTAAGCCAAGTGCTTCTCCGGCAGGTGCTGCCTGAAGGCATGGTTGGACTGTTTGCCAAGTCCGCTTCTTTCCTTTGAGGCAACGGGGTCAATGGAAAGCGCTAAACAGCCGCTCAGAATCTCTGGGAGCTTGTGATTGAAACATTTGGAGGCAATGGACCGATTGGAGAAAGACCCGATCCAGTCCTTTCCTGAGACACTTGATGCCTCTATATACTCACCAAAAACACACCTTTTCTAGATTTGAATTCTCAAGACTGAGCACGGACTCCACTTCCCAGCTAATTTCAAAAACTGCGGCAGGATATTTTGTTATACAGTAGTAATTTTTGGATGTTGTTTGATGATTTCTGCACTTTCCGGCAAATTCAAGATTCTCACAGTCGAGAGTAAGCTCCATTGCTATACGGTTTAGCTGAATACTGAATATACTTCATATTGATTGGTGTTGTGCCCGGCTGTGCCCCTCAGCCAGTCGTTCGTCTGTGGGTGAGTCCGGGGCGTGGATTTGAGGCCAGGTGACGTCGGAAGCCAGAGAGATTTCTTGGCTGGTCGCTTATGACGAAGATCACCAACTCTTTTTGCCGACAAACCCCGCGCACTTGCGGCATTTTGTCAAGGTGGAGTTGTTCCACAAGAAGCTTCCAAAGGAAGTTGCCGAGCTGGCACGTTTTGAAGGGTGTGATGCATCTCACCTTCCAAAAGACTAGCTGACTAGCTGAAGAATCGACTTCGAAAGCATTTTGCTGTACTCGTGACTCCTCCAAGACTAGCAGATCACAACGACCTCAGGCTTTTGTAGCTCTATACCTTGCGTCTTTCCTTCACACAATGTGCAACGTTGCGCCGCTGGGCTCAAAGGTGAAAGTGGAATCATCCTGCCTACTTGTTTGTCTTGTCTTATTTCTTTGTTCGAGTTGTGTACTAATGATGCACAACCGACACTTATTGATGGATCACTGGGTCAAGGTTTTGGCGCAAGCGTATCTTTTTTCACCCTCTTCACCCTGGGACATGCGTTTTCAAGTGTCATGACTCCTTCCCTGAGGCAAGATCGCCTTGTCTCAGACTCAGCTGCACAAGACTCCTCAGTCGATGGTGCTTTCCCAGTCGATGCAGGGCGGCAAATCGGATGCAGTGACTGGCTTAGAACTCTCTCGAAGCAGAACTGTACCATTCAGGCAAGCATACTGTTTTCTATTTTTGTATTTTTTTCTGAGGCAGCAGCTGACCTTCCAGCTCCAACCTTAGACCAACTGACTGCTTTTCTGGAACCGGATGGTGTAGACCTTGGATTCCAGGTGATGCTGACGCCAGCGACTGCCTCCAAGGCCCTAAACGTGAATAGGTGTGATGCGTCTGAAACATCAACATCGACGCTGATAGGCCTTTGCCTCCGGATTCTTAAGACCTCGTGCTCTGAGCTGAGTGATGTACAGGTGGAACAAAGTCCTAATCATTCTGAAACTCTGCATTCTTCGGAACCTTTTTCTTCTGTGACTATTTGGTATTCTTCCGCAACTTGTCTTCTCAGATCTTCTCAGACCTTCTCAGCAACTATTTTGCATTCTTCAGACACGTTTCTTTTTTTTTTCAATCTTCCGCAACTACTTGGCGATCTACGAGTTTCCGAGGAGTTACCATTAATGTTAGTTTCTGAAAACCGCACAGTTCCCAAACATGGTTTTGCACAGATCAAACCGTGAAGTTATCGAAGAACAGTTTTCGAGAGAAACTGGAAAGTTTCGAAGCTAATATATAGTCTGAAGAACACTGGAAACTACCGAAAAAGCCATCACCTTTTAATGACCGACTAAAATCTTGAACGTTGACCTCGCACGCTCTGGTCGCCACAGTTTGCGTTGATGCACTGAGGCTTTCACGCCTGAGTTCTTGAAGGTCAGATGAACTGTTAGGATTCTGTGATTTCCTTGCTGCACAAGCACTCGAGGCGTTGCCGTCGGCAGAGTCATTGATAGCAACGTTAATTGAAAGTGCCTGCAGCTGAGGACATGCAAAACAGCGATAGGCGATAGAGATCCATTTCAGATTCAGACGACACACCGGACATTCTGTGATGTAATCCTTTTACAGTCTTCGGCAATGCCAACCTGAGCACCCTCAGCACCAAATCTGAGGCCGAGGAAAAAGAACTGTGGATCGGAGGGCCCCCGCCAGACTGGGCCAAGGCAAGAATGGGTTTTGACACATGCTATACTAGACATGCTCAGCTATGCGTCCGGTCTGAAGCCGCCGAGGGAGCTGAAAGTAGCGAAGATCAAAGTCCTTGAGCTTTGAAGTTCGATCTAAAACAGATTGAGCTACTCTACAGGTGCACCTCAACTCAATGTCTCATTCTGCCTGGAACCCTGGGCTTCTGCCTGAAAAAGGGCTGCAGATCCTGTAGATGTTTATGATTTATGATTGCTTTTGTGTCGGAAAATCCTTCTCTCAAGCGCAGAGCTTGTGAATAGTTTGAGAGCTGACAAAGTGCGGTTCACCCACTCAAAGCCAATGCCAAAGAAGCGAGCGAAAACGGAACAGCATCATGAGTCACGATTTGTTTTAGCCGCTTTAGACCTCTTTCTTCGCTGCTTGAAGCAAAGCAAGACATATAGCCTATTCCAATTGGGGACAAGTAGGCCGTTGGGGCGTGGTAGTCTGCCACGTGTTGACAATTGATAGTCATGGAGTCATGGCCCAAAGAGCACTTGATACGATATGGAAAGAAAGTCGTAAACTGACAGCCGACATCATCTAGCTGCTTCACAGTGAGAGACGTCATGAACGAAAATAGATGAATCACTTCGATTTCAAAGAGCGGTCATCACTTTGTGATGTAAACACAAAACATGAATTCAAGGTATTGGCAAGCCAAGCGCCAAGCCCAAAATGATTGCGGGTTGAGACAGAGGATGACAGAGGAATGAGCCATGCTGCCATATCCAGCAAGGCTTGCCACGGTGTTCCTTGGATACCTCTGGGGAAACCTGCCGTGTGCCGGCTTCAACGTGGAAACTGGCACCTGCGAGAAGCTTGGCTATTGTTGATTATTGTTGTAGATCCTTAAGTCTTAACAAGTTTTACCCAGCTGTGGGGGCATTCCTTTTCTCAATCATTTTGGATCCAACATTTTTCGGGATCTTGGATTTCTACCGTTTTCATCCGTTTTCTCAAAACAGTGTCTATTTTTGTTTGTCACCGCCTCAGGGCCTCGAGCAATGCGCAGTTTTGCTCCATGGCCTTGGACCGGAATCTGTCCAGCTCCTGGAGACTTGACGAGGGACTAGGGGATGGATGGGGAGGGTGAAGACCTGGGAATCAGCTTGCATCAGCTTGCCATAGCCGGAGATATTTTGGAAAGCCAACATCGATGTGTTCCATTTAAGAGACCATCCAAATGGAAGGATTCCTCCACGTTAGCCCCAACCTCCATGCGCCAGGACCCAAATGGAGTATCACTGCTAACCAGTAGGAAGAGCGCCCCCAAAAAACATTAAGAAGTTGAAAAGTTGGTGAAATGACCATCAGTCATCAAGTTTTTGAACCAGCCAGCCCAACCCAACGATCGAAGCACCTGAGGGCGTCCACAGCACCAGCACCACAGTGGCTTGAAGCGAGGATTGAAGGTGCTATGCTCAGCAGCTGCTGGATTGATAATCTATGATAAACTGATAGGCAGTAGGAGCATGTATGAGCTACTTGGTGGAGTCTTTGCCTTTGTACCAAGTCGTGGTGATCTCCCTTTTTTTCCCCACCCAGCTTTGGTCCGCAGGTGGTGAATACGTCGCCCTGGGCTCCTATGCCATCACCTCGGTGCCCGGACGTCCGGACCTGGCGCCCACGGCTTGGCGCCTGGAGGGCCTGGAGCCCTTCAGTTTGAATCGTCAGACCTTGGACGAGGCGGTTGGACAGACCACCCTGGAGCTATTTCGGTTGGAAGGGGCGAAGCCACGCAAAAGCTGTTGGGTGTCGGAGTTTTGACTTTTCTATTTGCTTGGTTTGGGGTCAGCTGAACATCAGCAACAAACCAATCTCTCCATCAGATAGGAGGCTTTTCTTATCCTTTTTCTGGGATTCCACCGAAAAAGGCGGACTTTGTTCTGCGGGTGGATGTTCTTGCTTCGTTTGTCCACATTGGAGTTCCTCAAGTCAAGGACGATTGAAAGCCTTGCATTGACATCCAGAATTGCGTTTAGCATATTTGTCAGTCTTATTTTTTGCCTCGCATAAATAAACATATATATATATATACTGTACATTTCTTGAATGCCAAAGATTGGCCTCAAACGGCATCCTAACGCTTGCTCGGTGTTGCAGGTGTATCAACAAACTTGGGAGGATGGCACCACACACATTCGAGACCTTGGAGGCGCGGAATGCGGCTGACCTTGAGACTGAAAATCATGCGAGTCGTCCCGGCAGCTTCTAAGAAGATATATGGTGTTATGGCTGAACACATGTGGGCAGCCAGCAATGCAAGCATCTGCTCAATGTACGACCACATTGATTCTAGAGGCTGTTTTGCATGACTTGCTGCGACTTTGGAGGCCTCACTTCTTGGAGAAGCTACCAGCTGACAATGCTGGAGGGCACAGGCAGTATACATGTGCACTGAAATGCGCGGAATTTTGAACGTCCTTTGTAATGTTGGATGCTGATTAGTAATAGGGCCCTCTATAATGCTAACATTTTGAAAAATAATTCTTGACACCCTGTTTGCTTTAAGGGTCCTCTATTATGCTAATTTTTTTGGGACCCTAATTGTTCATTATCTGAAAAATATTTAGGGTTAATTATATTTCCTTTAGACAAATAAAAATAGCAGTTCTTAATACTACTAAGCCAATGGTTGGCTTGCTGAGAGTATTGATAAGTATAGGTTACTGTATAGGTTTCTATAGTTCTTCTTCAAAACTGTCAGCTTCCCAAAACCATCAATTCCCTAATCAATCCTTTATGTAAAAATTGCTCCTAAACAAACTTTCAAGGTAGCAGACCAGGAAGGCCCGGATCCTCAATAATGAATTTGCTTTAAGGGTCCTCAATTGTGCAACGTGTTTTCTTGAATAAAAACAATAATAGTACTTCTTAATACTACTAAGCCAATGGTTGGCTTGCTGAGAGTACTGATAAGTAAAGGTTACTGTATAGGTTTCTATAGTTCTTCTTCAAAACTCACAGCTTCCCAAAGCCATCAATTCCTTAATCAATCCTTTATGTAGTAGTATGAAAGGATTGCAAATAATACCTAGTGACAAAGAACTTCAGAAAGGAACATACATACTACAATCAATTACAAAAGGAATCCTCCTAGGAACCCAGATTTGTTTTGGTGGTAGTTTGTTATAGTAGGTCCTCCATTTGTTTGAGGGCGGGCCCCCCCCCCTTTACTAATCAAGATCCAACTACACTAACACCTTCGCCAATCCAGCTGTCTGTATGAGACTCAAAATACCAGTGTTGGAACGGGAAGATGGGAAGGCGACCCTGCTAAAACGAGGCACACAAGTGGCCATTGCAGAGCTTCACTTGATGCCAAAGTTGGGCTATGAATTCGAGATCTCAAGTTGGGCTCCCTGTTCGGTGACCTGCGGTGGTGGGACGCAAAACCGCACGGCAGCTAAGCGCAATCAGAGTGCTCACGAGTGACCCTGGAAATCTTCCACCTTGTGCAGATTTCGCATGGAAGCCGAGGTCGTTTGTAAAGGGAGCGATGGGGTTAGCTACAGCGACCACCGCTGTACTACTGGAGATGCTCCAGTGAGAGTGAGAGATTGTGGAACATCCATTTGCAACTGCGAGGAGCGGGCTTGGAGATATATGGAGTGTGGAAGAGCATATTGGTGCAAGACTTCCTGGGAATAAACCAATGAGGATTAGTGATGTTTAGTGAGGATGATGGGATGACGACAGACGAACAAGAGTTCTAACATGTGTCTTTAGACAGACAACATGAATGGCAGACACACACACAACGAGACTAAGCAAGTTGACAGTTTGACATTTCAAGTGTTGACCATTTGTGATACTTGGACCGCCCCAAAGGGTGGCTTGGCGTGCAGCGCCACTTGTACTGCCTCAAGTTCTGCCACTTCTGACCTGGGCTGTGGTGTTTTGGTGGATGGTGCAGTTCTTTCGGTCCCTTGGCTGTTTTCATTTCTTAGCCAGGCAAGGCCTTCGCTCGGGTTAGAAGTGAGTCTTGCGAGTGCCTAGGGTTCCTTCTTTGGGTATACCCAGCAGTCATGGATAATTATATTGGAATTATTGGATAGTATGAATTTGATGCACAGATTGCTGTTTTGCATGACTGAGGCCTGGACTTCAGGTGCTCCACCTCCACAGTGGTTGGAGTATGACTTGGGCCAGGCCTGGATTCCTGAATTGGAGACTGATTCACAAAAGTCCTCATTTGCCTGATGTCACAGGCACTTTTCGGGCCAATCTGAGAAGATATAGCTAGCTGTTTCTTGAAAACTCAGCATCTGCAGGTGCGAACCCTGGCGGAGTTCTCCCTCACCTCCGGCACCTGCACGGTTTGTACTTTCCAGGAAGGACCTTCTGTGATCTCATTGCAGGCCACGAATCTTCCTCCAGAGTCCAACGGCCGAGCCTGGTATGAGCTGCGATCGCCCTTCAGCGTGGGCTCCATGTGGTCCTCGGGTGAAACTCGCAGGTGGGACTGGAGTCCAAGCATTTCGGAGGGTCCACGCCGGAAAACGGCGACGGCCGTCATCCTGCTGTCGGTGACTTGGGGAGTTGTTGAGTCGAGTTTGGTGAGGTGGAACCTTCCAGAGGGAGAAGTTCGATCCTTCCGCTACTGGCGCTTGAACTTTCATGAGACCATGGGTGGAGGGGGAACTGTGTACAAGGTACACGTGTCAGAAGTGGGTGACGGCCTCATTTTGCAGTGCTGAGAGTAGTCAAAGCACGTGAAAACACGAGAGCAATGGAACATTCTCAGAAGCAGATGTTTCCGCTTAGTTTTTTTTTGGGGGAGAAGCACAGACTCCATGTCATGGGATGTCTCATACGAGTCATATTAAAAACATCAGGAAACGTCAGCCTTTTTCAGAACTCTCCAAGGCCTCTATGCACCCGCAACCACTTTTCGGTTGGTGGTGGGCGAGTGGGGTGTTTGCGAGCCTCTCGGTGGCTATGGTGCTTGTGGTGCGGGTGTCAGCCGCCGCAGCGTGCAATGCTTCGACGACGAAGACTACCCACAATCTTTGGACAACTGTGAGCATGGCCTCACGACAGCTGCCGAAATGAGCTGCACAGTGGATTGCCCTATTCTTTTGGTGGCTGGGGCTATACCCCATCCAGGCTTCTTTGGCGTTCTGAGGTGGTGCCAGCCTGCTTTGATTCACGAACATTTGTTTGTCATTAGAGTCATAGTCATAGTGAACCCCTGGACTTGTGGCTTGCGCTTGAGCTGAAGGCTAAGCCGTTGCTCGCCCTATTCTGGTTCGAAAGCATGATCCGACCAAGAGAAACCGCCCTTCCCTTTTTTGGGGATAGGATCTCTCTCTCTCTCTCTCATATATATATATATAAATATACGGACCCAACAACAAAGGGCAATGGCGGGCAGTGTTCATGACAAGTACGGAAGCATGAGAGCGTTGATATGATCCCCCTTGCTTGTGCCATGTTGATATGTGTACGGTAGATATGGCCCGTTTTCTCCGATGAACATTGTACCAGTCGCACGAGTCGCGCGTGCGACCACGAGTCCAACCATGTAGACGTTGCCATGGCAGTCCTTGGGACTTGGCGACAGAACCTGGACCGAGTAAGAGGGGCTTTGATGGAGTTGTGTGTTTGAGGCTTTTTGAGGCTAGTAGCTTCTTGCTCCTAGTAGCGATGGCCTTGTTACTAGTAGCTTCTTGTTACTATAGCTTGTCTCGTTCTCATTCATATACTCATAGACTCATAGATAAAATCTCGCATGGAAGCAGTCAGGTGCATTTGCCAAAACGTCGGGGGCTTCGACACGGCGATCGACAGCCTGCTACACCTGGCTCATGCCATCTTGGAATGTGAGGCACGAACTGTGGACCTCAACTTCTACGGTCTCTCACATGTGTAGTCAGAAAGCACAAGTGATTTGAGCTCGGCCGGTTGGGCTGACAACTGAGCGATTTTGGCCTCACCTCCAAGCCGTAGGCTGCTTCGCGTGCCCATCTTCTCCGGGGTCCTCCAGGCTCTGGCAAGAGCCACCTTGCAGAAGAGTTCGCCGCCGTAGCAGGAGCACCTGGCACCGTGGCAACCGAGATTCGTATGAGTTTCTTGATTCCGTTTTGACGGACTTGGATCCATTTTCGCTTCGCTTTCGGAGTCGCGGGGCACGAGAAACATCAAGAAATCTCTTAAGCCGCTGGAAATCTCTTTGGTTTGGGAAGATTGGGAAGTCGTTGAAAGCTTCTCATGCGCTCGAGGTGTGATAGAAGGCACGGCACATGTTCTGGATGCTGGATTTGCCATCTCTCAAAGGCATGCTGGGGCCAAAGCATTTCAAGCGAGGTTAAGACTTGCAACGGATCATGCTCAAGAGCGGAAAGCAAGGGCCAGTCTATGCCCTTCTTCAGCTACGCTTGAGGTCTTAATCTTGGAAGGGGCTGAGACTTTGGAGGAAAAAGATGAGTCGGAGTTGAGGGAGATCATTGACCTGCGACAAGTTGTTGCGGACATGCTGCTCTGGGAATTGCAACTTTGGCATGAGAGGTCGTTGCCCATTCTATTGCTTGTCCCGTGGACATCCTTTGAATCGGAGCCCTCCCAAATTTCGGGGCGTGGTGCTGTGGAAGGGAGCATAACTTTGCCCATACCATTGGGCTTGAAGCAACGACATGAGGTGCTTCAGGTATGCTCGCGTCATTTGAATCTTGATGCCAAGAGCCCGGACATTCTGACATGGCTGGCCAAGTCAACTGGTGGCTTCCTGCCCTGTGACCTGGTTGCGCTATGTCGCTCTGCTGCCTTGGCAGCAGTTCCCTCTGCTCAGAACGGCACCGTGCAGGTGCTTAGGGAACATTTTGAGAAAGCTCGAGCATTTATGGATCCCACTCCAATGCGCGGAGTTTCTGCTGCACGGAGACAATCACAAAATTTTAAGGCATTTGATGATGCGAGAGGTTTCGACGCCGTGGTGGGACAGGACGAAGCTGTTTCTTCTCTGCGTGCACTGGTTGTGAAGCCCTTCAATTCATGGCAGCATGCTGGTCCTGATCCCGAACCGAACCACGGGTTACTGGAGCCACCTTGCGCCGTGTTGATCAGTGGGAGCCCTGGCAGCGGCAAGACCTTTGTTGCATCGCAACTCGCCATGGAACTTGGGCTTCATTTCTTTGCCGCATCACCAGCAGACCTCCTGGCATCTCGCGTGGGGGATGCCGAAAAACGTGTCGCATCGCTCTTCTCTTCGGCAAGACATTGTGCACCCAGCACTTTGCTTCTAGAGGATCTTGACACGCTGCTACCTCAGGTAGATGATCCCTTTGATCTAGAGGGACTCGGAAGGGACGCTTCCGCTTCAGAGACCGCCATTGCCTACACACTTCGAAGTGAGCTGGATATCATTCAGACTCGGAGGAGTGAGTACCGAGAGTTTCTTGCAGGGAAAGCTGTAGCCAGTCCTCTTGCAGCGGAAGCTTTGGTTCTAACAATTGGCACCACAAGTGCTCCAGACAAGGTGGTATCCTGGCTACTTGTGCCCCATCGCTTTTCTATGCACATCAGACTGAAGCCAAGATTGAGTGAAGAGGAAAGGACTCTTGAAATCACAAGAGAGCAGACAAGAGAAGACATGAGTCATGAGAAGAGAAGCTGGAACAAAGCAACAATTCAATAGCAATACAAATTGTGGTTTGACTATGTGACTTGCCCCTTTTGTTTGTTCAACATGTCGTTTGCTTGAGGAGATGCTGGAGCTCCTCTGCCGCAATGCCAAAGGGCTCGCCCAAACATCAGCGCTCAAAGCTAGCGCAGAGGAGCTTTGCAAGGCCATTTCGACTCTGTTTTTTTTCTTTCTAAAGGGGGGTAGGCCGCTAAGAGGAAGAGGCATAAGCTAGTTGGTAGTTATTATATAAGTAGGAGGCTCCTTGTAACTGGACGCAGGATAGCGCTCGCACTACATATTTACTGTAATTTTTGTAAAAAGGCAACGATCGATATGGCGCATCGGCCCGAAAAAGTCGCACCCTTTCTTCAGCTTGAGCGAAAAGGCAGCTTATGCCTTCAGGTTTCATGTGTCCTGTACTCTCTCGATTTGTGCGTGTCATCACACACGTTTCACCTTTCCACACTCCCCCTTGAGACCGCTAGGTCATCATGACCAAAGGAAAAAAACTTCAAAATCTGAGCTCGCTGACTCAAACTGCCCTTCCATTCTATCCATTTCGAACGCACCGAGAGCAACGATTCGAGTGCACATCGTTTCCCCATGCCGTGCTCCACAGGTTGAACATAGTCGACCTTCCTGTAGATTGTGTGCACATAACACACCACTTCGATCGTCTCACCTCCCTGGTCGTTGGGATGACCAGGTAATCACATGTCGGCCTTGTGTGATAGGCCTTTCCATACCTCGTGGTGAAGATTGGTGGCTCACTGCGGTCTTCAACAGGAGGAGAATCTTCTTGCCCTGATCTTGGGCTTCGGTTTTGGCTTTGGGGCAGCCTTGGATTTGGGCTGCCTTGCATGCTCCTGTGTTGAGCTTGATGCCATTGGGTGTGGCTCATCATCATCATCATCATCATCATCTTCTTCTTCTTCTTCTTCTTCTTCTTCTTTAACCCGTTGTCTCATTTCGACCTTTCTTTTTTCCTTTTTCTTTTGTGCTTCTTCGACCAACTCATGTGCCGCATTTGAGGATTAAGCCCATGTCGTTGGCTGAGTCCATCCAGGTGGCACTTGAAATGGTCTTCCATGAATCATCACCATAGGAAATCCGCTGGCCTCCGGCATTGAAGGCTGATTCATCGGAGGTGTCAGTGGAATCTCTCTAGGTAATCCGGATGGCCTTGGAAGTTCCGGCATTCCCAACGCCCTTTCTCTTCTTTCTTCCTCTTCATCTTCCTTCAGCTTGAGGCCTTTGATTTTCCCCTGAGGTCCCCTCGGCGAGGTAGGAAGACTTCTCGTGCTCGTGGATGTCTCTTCAAGAAGGGCATTCCTTCACCAGCCACCAGAAAATCGTCGTCAACGCCATAATGGCGACCGTGTAGGCCATCAGCATCATCTCACTTGACCAGTTCTGGTCAACTTCATCTTCTTCCTCTTGGCCTTGTGCCTTCGTCATCGTCAATGAGTCAATGAGGCTGCGAGCAAAGTCATCTTCAAGATGGTTGCAGCCTTCTCTTGACTGGAAGTTTATTCTTTTTGATGTCGGGCTTCATCTTCTCTCATAGTCTTTTCTTCTCCTTCTTTCTGTTCTTCCTTCTTCTTTTGAGGCTTTGACATCATCATCTTCGACTTCAAATCCTCCAACCTGGATCAACCTGGTGGATGTAAGGGCCTTCGTCCCAGTATCTGCGACCATGTCCTCGCCAGGAGTGTGTCCTATGGTCCATTCTCCCTCCTGAATGGACTGCCGAGCGAAGGCTGATCGAAGCCGAAGATGTCGAGTCCTCCAGCTTCCTCGCTCGTGAGTATCGATAGCCCTGGTCCAAGCCATTCGAGGGAGCCTGCCAACCAATTCGTCGAGAATCACAGCGGTCGACTCCCCTGCTGTCATGCCCTCGACCACCTCATTCAACTCGGCCTCGGCTGTCGAAAGAGTCACTGTGCTCTGTCGGCCGGACTTCCAGAAGATCGGACTGGCACCCACCATCACGATGCAGCAGCCGTGGGATTCTTCAGCGTTCGGGGCATAGGAGGCGTCCGTGAAGACATTGAGCACCATCTCATCCTCTTCTTGGGTCAAGTACTTGAGACCCAATTCCTTCGTGCCCCACAAATAGCCTCTCGCTTGATTTCCAGCATCGACCACAGCCATTGGGTTCTTCAGGATGCTTGATCCCATTCTTGAGACGAATCATGTCTGGTCCTCGTCCAACCATAACAATTCTCCCACCACTTTCTGCGCCGACCGGATCTGGGCCGTTGGCAGATCTTCACTCTGCTCCATGCCGGCTTGGTCTCTGGTGATGGGGATCTTCCTTGACTTTGGCTTGTCTTCACCTGCATTGAGAAGATCTTCAACGTAGGATGACTGGGAAATGAGCCATACATATCGACCTGCTTGGTGATCCCATTCCTTTGACACTTCCATTCTCCCCTGACCAGGATTGTAGCATCTGGGATTGAGACACCCAGATCCTCTGCTCTCCTCTTCCAACGGAGCCACCTTCGTAAGGTCGTGACCCCGCTTGCAATGCTTTGTGCTTCTTGGGGGCTTTCCAGTGCAGCGAGGATGGCGGACTTTTCTGCAAGCCCCCCCGGCTGATACTGTATCATGCCCTTGGTGAGAATGCCAAGAGTGCTCAGCGATCTCGAAGACACCACTTCTTCTCGCAAGCCTTCTGGGATGGCAGCCAACAAAAGCGATGCTGCTCGCCTTTCCAAGCGAGCCCATTTCTTCTGAGTCAACATGGGTGGAGGCATCGGGTGATGTTGAAGCCTCTCCAAGGGAGTCTTTCCCATGTGGGACATGTACCATGCCTTAGCTGCTTCAACCATAGCTTGCCACCACTCCTCCGAGCTACTGAGATCACCCATGAGAGGTTGGATGACCAACAACCAGTCTGAGAAGTCAATCGGACCGGTCTCTGGGGACCATTCAGGCAGCTTCGGGAGATCCGCTCCACGCTGGACAACTTCGGGGGGTCCTCCAGCTTCTTCACTTCCATCTTCCTTTGAGTGACTCTTCACATGCCTTGCATGAGTCGCAGAATGACATTGATCGTTTGTGGCGGCAAGGCTTCACCGGAGGCTTCTTCTTTCTTCCTTCCCGTGGTTCCCTTCCCTGTCCTCCCCCTCGGAATGCCTTCTGCTTCTTCTTCCCTTTCTTCTTCTTTTGCAGCCTCTCCTCGAAGATTTTCTTCCAGTCCTGAGCTGCCGTTTGGGGTGGCAAACACAACCTCGTCATCCTTGCTCTCCAGCTGAAAGTAAAGACCATGGACCTGATTCTTCAATGCCCTGTTCTCTTCAACGATGACCTGCAACTGTCGGGCAGTGAGAGTGTCTCTTTCTTCCTTCCTTCGTTCAGTGGCCAGGATGCCCAGGGTCTGATCCCTGAGCCTTTGGTTTTCCTTCATGAGGAGATGCATTTGCCTCATCATTTCATCTTTCTCTTCTCTTTCTTTCATTCTTTCTTCAAAGATTCGCAGCCCTTCTCCCCCTGGCTCCAACCCAAATCTTCTTGCCTCTTCTTCCCGTCTTGTTCCAGGAATTGAGCCTGCTGGTACATAGTTTAAAGGTCTTCCAACTGCTCCTGTGAACAAAGGGGCAGTTAAACTTCCGGCGGAGTTGCCAGGAACACAACAAGAGGTTCCTGACCTCCCATAGGATCTTCTTCGTCCCTTCTATCATTCTTTCCCTTCCCACCTTTTCCTTCCTTCGGTGACGGACCCGGCCTCATCATGCGATCTTCCGGAGTCCTGAGATCTTCCATTTCTTCTTTGCATTCAGCATCTTTCAACTCCTTGATGGCCTGCTGAGGTCGTACAGGAGTCCTAGCCATCGGAACTTGCTGTGGAGTCCTCACAGTCGGTTGTGGGGTCTTGGTGGTCAAGGTGGAAGCCGATGCACGAGTTCGACTATCTTCATTGGCACCTGGGGCTGACGTAGATGGTGTTCCCTGGATTTGGGGTTCACTCCTCTAAGAACCACTGGGACCAGCTGGATTCCCACCACCCTTTTCTCCCTCCTTTTGGTCTTCTAGAGGGAGTTCATCACCTTCCAAGCGCTGCTGCTCTAGTCGCTTGTGAGCAGCTTCCATCTCTCTTTGTCCTTGGTCCAGCTCAGCCTTCGTGGCTTTTCGTCGCCTTTGTTGAAAGGCTGTGGACATAACCAACCACCCAAGATCAGCGTGACCTTGGGCTCATAACCTGTAAAAAGGCAACGACCGATATGGCGCGTCGGCCCGAAAAAATCGCACCCTTTCTTCAGCTTGAGCGAAAAGTCACCTTATGCCTTCAGGTTTCATGTGTCCTGTACTCTCTGGATTTGTGCGTGTCATCACACACGTTTCACATTTCCACAAATTTAATCCCTAAGTTTTAGGGAATCTCCCAAAGACATGCCTTTTCACGTTTGTTTTTGGCAGGTAGTTTTTATTCCATTCCTAAAAGAGCAAGGACACCACTCTGGTCACCAGACCACTCAAAGGATTTCTTGACATCCGGATCCTGAACCATTTCTCAGAAATTTTTTGCAGGACAGAACATCCGATGGAATACTTAATATACAAATTTATTATCTTTAGGGTCCTGTTGTCCTGGGCTCCCTCCCTCCCTTCCTTGCTTGCTTGCTTCCTTCCTCGCAGGTGGGTGGTTCTCCGGCAGATGCTGCAGCTGTTTGTCGCGCGGCCGCTGTCACATCCGTGAGACGCATGGTAGCTCAGCGGCAGATGCATCGTGTGGCCACCAAACGTTCCCTTTCCTCGGGCGGTCGAAAAATACAAAAGAAGAGACCGAGAGAATACACCCAAGCATACAGAAGTCACAAAACGTAAGGGCTCCTGCACCTGCCAGACACGGATGAATTCATAGGAATTCCTTCAATCCGATTGACCAATTGCATTCCGAGGTGAAACTGGGCCATGCCAAAGGAGAAATGACGACCGATGACATTCTGGGCGCAATATCCCTTTGCAGGAGGAAATAGGGGCGACTCTGCACAGAGTAGACCCTGCGAAACCAATTTGAACCATTGTTGATGTATGCCTTGTGTTTGGGCAGCGGATGGTATTTTATTAAATCTCATTCCAACCACCACCAGTCCTATTTTCTCCCAACGCCAGGGTGTCAATGACGGCACAGTGGATGGCAAAGGTCCTTTGCGCAGCCTACGAGGCCCGAAACAGCAACCTCTGCAGTCCGGTAATGCTGATGGATTGGTCATGCAGTCCGTGTCGTTCAGGTTCCGATCGGTGATGAGCCAAGCATGAGACCCAGCTGAGTGAGACCAAAAACCCCTGAGGTATGGGGACTGCTTTTTGAAGCATGTGAGGTGCAACCAATCTGGACTACGCCTTGTACTCCGCCTTTTGGCCCATTTGGCTTCACAAAGCATCCGTGCTTCATGCGATTCAAGCATTTGGATTCAGCCTCGCTCACGGATGTGCTCCGTGGCACTGAGGGAATTGGCATGGCCGAGAGCACGAATGGAACTGCGGAAGTCTGGGGTCGAAACCTTAATGATTTGTTTGTCGTGCACCACAAGACGGATAATGAATCGGTACAACAGTTGAAAATATGGTGGATTGCTGCCAGTCTGTTCTTCAGGAATTCTCGTGAGCCGATTTGCTGGAGAGGAGTTCGAGGTCTTTCTGTCAGACTGATCTTTCTGACTGCGTAAAGTCTGTGGTGCGATTCTGACAGGTGCGATGTAAAGTGGTTGGAGGATCGCAAGTCTTTGGTCGAGGTACGCTAGATATGTTTCACAGGTCGCAGCTTTTGCTCTGCGCTCTGCTGTATTCTTTTTTGTGCCTGCATGGTTTCAGGTAAACGAGCCGTGCTTCGCCCTGTTCCGCTCCTGTGTTTGCCTCAGAAGTCACTCCTGCCAAGTGAAGCCTTTGTCCAGAGATCCTGCAGTGTTAATTATCCCGTCAACTTCTTTGCGCTCAATCTTTTGCAAATGCCACGTGCGGTTTGGAAAGGTGATCATCTACCGTATGTAGAGCACATGCCTGTGGAGGATGAACATCATGTCAATGTGCAGATTCAGCTGAGCAGGATGGGCTGCTGGGCAGACTCTTTTTCCGACCCTGCCAGACCTTCAGATATGTCATGACTGGCCCTTGCGAGTGACACACACACACACATGTTCTGCGTGAAGACAGAGATGCTTCCAAGGATCTGCCGGAGTACCAGGGAGTGCAGACACAGGCATCAATTTCCATAAATTGAAAGCAATGTTAATTTTGAAACATTTTTCATCTTTCACTTCCCTGTGCATTGTTCGTTATTTGTACGATATGATAGAAAGGAATCTGGAGATAGCGTGAACTTGCTGTGCTGTTTATTTCAAAGAGGGATTGACTGGGCCATTTGTAACATTGTAGGTCTCCTGTGCAGCGAGCTCAGTGGCTTCCATGTTTCGTTTGGCCTTCAGCTCAAGTTATATATATATATAAATATCCATGCTGAGGCTGATGTTTGTTTTGGGACGCAGTACTTCGGCCTGCAGCCATGAGCTTAGAGTGAAGATAAACTCGTTTTCCTGATCTTCATGCAGGGCTTGGGGCTGAACATGTGTATTGTTAGTCTTGACACACATATACACAGACACACATGTTGGATCCCGAGTCTATCGAAGGAGACTCATTTTCACATTCCGTCTCAGCGCCACGTCTCCATCCGAGGATGCGAGGGAAATGTCATTGTGGGGACAGCTACGGGCGTTACGGACCGAAGACTCCGAACCGGACAGCTGGTCTTACCGGTGTTGGGCTCAGCTCCGCTCCTTTCCGAACGGGAGTAGCAGCACAGCGCTGGCTGACTATGCCTCATATGAGCAATGGCCTCCAACCTAGAGTCTCGAATTTGCGGGCTTTTCATATTTCGTTATGATCATGCTCAGCGGCTACGATCTCGAAGTTGAGGCTGCGACTGCAATGGCCCCTATTACGCATATCAGGCCAACTGTGTTTGGGAACAGAGTGGCGGTCGTTTTGGTGCCTTGGCTGCAGTGCCAGCTTCACGGCCGTGGAAAGGGCCTTGTGGCATTTGGTGCTTCTTTTCGGCACCAGGCGATGAGACCATGCTGCCGCTGCGCATTCGCTCGGTGACCGCAAACAGCGTCAGAGCCCGAAGCGGACTCGACACATTAAGACGGACGTCACCAGATCGATAGGAGGGATGGTGATTTGATGTGATTTGACTGGTGCACTGCTTGAACTTGAGCTTCTCTTAGGCACAGATGCTGGCTTCTGTCGAAGAAGATGCACGCGTTCGTTGTCCTTGACTCAGTGACCTGTAGGTACGAGCTTATCATGGCTCATGAAATCTCACGAGAATTGTATGATCTCATGAATCCTTGCTTTTCCGCTGAGGCAATGTCTCTTCAACCGATGCGACCAGTGCTCCCACTACCTCCGCAGTATGTACCAACCAGGGCTGCGCACTTTCAATGGGAAATCTTCAGCCATCAACCACGTACACGTTGTGGGGAGCTCGGAAGCGTACGGACCAAAGGGCTTGAGTCAGGTTTGCAAGGAGTCAAACCGTCACACGTGTGTTTCAGGAATAGCCCAGTGAGGATTGAAACCCTTGATATCCCAATGAAACACTTCGGTATCTCAGTGAGATCCAACAAGCGACTGGGCAAACATTTTGGCCCAAACACTTCACCTATGTTCAAACACTTCGCCCAATTTGATACTGTGTGATCACGCTCCAGCCGAGGTCCTGCGAAGCAGAGGCCGATGACGAGCATCGAAGCCCGAGAGTCGCAGTGCTCTTGGTCCGGACATTGGATCCTGAGCTGCCACCAATTACAATGACCCCAACGAGGGCACCATTGGACCTCAGCGAGCCATTCTATGTGTTGTCAACCACAGCTGCGCCAGTGATTCGAGTTCAACATGGCTTGACACCCTGGGACTGGCTTTGGATTCCGTCGACTCTCATCGGATGCCTGACCTTAGGGCTGTCGATTCATTGCTGTGCACGGGGAAGGCCACAGACTGTGCTTCAGAATTTGGAGCTTCCCCACACCTTTTGGCTTGTTTGGGAGCTCCTAATTGTGGCGGATGTATCTCTAGGAGTTGCTTTTCTACTAGATCTGCTTCACGCGCGCTTTGCCCGGGAAGCGCCATACTGGGATGAGCTCAGTGTGATACAAGCAGCTATCCTGTTGTTTGCAGCATCACTCCATGGTGCAGCATTTCTTTTCTTTGGCGTGCTTCCTGCTGCCGGCCGATGTTTGGCTTACGAAGTTCTGAAAAGGCGAGATGGTCATAGCTGGACTTTGCTTCGATACAAGAATGTTCAGCATCGAATTGGCACGAGGAGGCCGCAACAAACAGCACTACCTCCAGAACTCGACTCAGAGTTGAGCCCTTCTGCCCTCCACTACCTTCCTGGTGCTTCGCTGCTCGCTGTGTGCAGAGCCAGCGAAGAGGACCTTGACCAGGTCCTGCCGTACAAAATTGGTATCAACGCATTTCATTTTGTTGGAAGCCTATTTCAGTTTCTATGTGCTGCATATTATACGTCTCACCCTTGGGACCTGCCTGCCTCCATAGGAGTCAGCGTGGCCTGTATGTGCATATTTCTGCTTTTGGCGATCTTCGTCGCCTTGGTGCTCTTGCGAGCCCAGCAAGTTCGTAGTTCGGGGCTCTTGCCGTTGCCACATCGCTTGGGGGCGATCTCAGCCGATGACGCACCGGCACCACCCAGAGTAGGTCTCAAAGGCGCATCAAAGTCAGCGCAGGCTCCAAGATCCTTGGGCAAAGCTCAAAGTCAGCGCAGGACTTGAAGTGTCTTCAGAAAACATCGACTTTCACACTAGAACTCCAAGCATCTGGGTTTCGTGCTGCAGTTGACACAACAGAGGGAGGGGTGGCATTTCAGTCACACTTTGTTCGGCCAGCAGCTCCAGCTTAACAGCTGCCCTTGGAGGGTGGTGAAAGCAGCCAAATTGGTGCAACCAAGACCATGGGGATCCATGCGGGCAGCCAGACAATGCCCTTCATTGACCACTTGCCTGTAGAATGCATGAAATTGTATGAAATTGTCTGAATTCTGCTTACACTGGAGACAAATACACACACCACACACACACACACACACACACACACGCACACAAGTTCTGATGTCGCTGACACAAGCATTCTTGTTTGCTAGTGACCACAAACAGCAACAAACAAGCGGGTATCCCTCCAACCTACGTGATCTACATATTACGTATAATATGTGAGAGTTCTGGACTGGTCTTTGGTATTCATACCTGGCACTCTAAGAACTGCGACTGCGACCGCGACTGGCATTCTTCTAAATTGGGGAGAGCGATGGCAGGGCAGACTTCTCAAGCTCATCCCCTAGATAGGGTGCAACAAAGAGACCAAGGCTCATCCTTTCTTTTTCCATCCATCGGCAGTGGTACGGGACTCTTGCGGCCATTGGAAGAGTCCCGTCAGCGCGAGGGATTGGTGCGAGAAGTAGCTTGAACTGGCACAAGAAGTGGCAGAGGCAGCTGATTTTCAGGCACATGTACGAGATTTCACATGTCTGCGTGATCATGCTCAATCACCCTGCACAGCTTCTTGTGGCTTTGATGCACCAAGCATAGGCGCGATGTTTCATGCGCCTTAGCCACAGCTGTTCAGGGCTGAGCCTTCCAGATCAAATCTCGGCAGGAATGTCATGGCATGTCTTTGCAAGACAAACGAGCGCAACTGCACCGCCTCAAGTGCCACCGGCAAAATCCTGAAACGGGCGAATCTAAGGCGGGATTGTGGTGGACCTCGTCACTGTGTTGGGGCTTCCCCACATCAGGCGAGGCCCACATTGATGCTGAACAAGCATCCTGAGAAATCTCCGCTTGAACAAGGTATCACTTCGAGGCCTGTCCAGCAACGTTTGCTGCCGCAGCGACAGCTCTTTGGCAATCTGCTGGAGACCATCTGAATTCACATTTGGAAAGCCTGCACTGTCTACCGACACTGTTCTTGGCCGGAGTATGGATGGGCATTCGCTTAGGAATTCATGCCTGCGTGTGTCTCGCTGGTGCTTTTGCAGGACCCAGGCTCATTTCAGCGAGAGAACTTTGTGCTGGCCTAAGGTGTTGAAGTTGTTAGAGGTTCATCCAAACAGCAGTAGTAGAGTCAAGTCCACACCCAAACAACGAAACATCATCCTCTTCAATCCTTTGGATTTGAAAACTGCTAGCAAAGCAGCTGGAAATCATCTCACCTGTGTGAGGTGTGCGAATCCTTGGATCGCTGGCTACCTACACCACCGCCAAAGACGCTGATGGTGGCGATGGAGATTGAGCCAACGAGTGCCAGGAGCGGCGAGCGGAAGCGGGGTCACTCGAGTCACTCGTTTTGCTTTGATGAGTGGAGAGACACTACATTCTTAGCTGAAGAATGCAATTCTTCAGGTACTGGCCATATTTGAGACCGACTGACTGTTGGGAGCTTACTAGTGGTATCTAGTGGTGCCATATTGATATGAGCTATAGGGTATGTCCCTGGATGACTGAGCATGGCTTCAGGCAAATGGTATATGGACAAGATCATAGCGGTGGGCGAACTCTATGCAGAGCGCATTGAAAAGAAAGCAATGGAGGAAATGGCTGCTGCACAGCTGGCATGTGACGGGTGGGGGCGGGCGCAGACTGGGTAGTGTTGCCAATGGGTGCTAATGCGAATACCGTCTTTGGCTTGCGCCACTTGTGCAGACAGCAGAGGGCATGGGAGCCCAGCTCCAGGCTGTGGTGTGGAGGAAGGCGCCTGGTTGCGGTGCTCTTGCAAGAATCATGTCTCAGCTTCATTCACCACTGAGATACAGAGTGCATGTTAAGCTTATCTAACTATCTAAACATGACATCAGTAGATCGTTGAAACAACGTGTGAATGTAGCGCAAGTCATGCTTGGCATTTCCTTTTTTCTGCAGAGGCAGGTATCCCAAACAAACTCAAGCCAAGCTCCGTAGCCCATTACTTAGCTTCCACGACTCGGTGTCCCAATTCCACGATGTTCGGAGCAGTTCGGGACTCTCAGGACATTGGGCTTATGGCCGATGGAGCTTTTGCAGCTTTGGGCCCCAAGCAGACTGAGGTGCGAAAGGGATCGGGTCAGTGGAGAAAGCTTGGGAAGCTTTTCCCAATCCTGCCAGGCCGCGCTGAAGCGAATGTACATGCTGCTGAAGGAGCAGCTGAAATCATTTCCAAGTCTTTTCAGGGCAGAAATGAATATTTGAGCCTTCAGAATTCCGGACATTTCTTTCTTGTGGCCACTGAAGAGGATGAGAAGGCCCGGCCCGGCCTCCTAAATAACCTTCTTGCACCCAACTTCTTGCGTTCACAGATGGCTCTGCGGGGGCAGCTAGACATTGGCTTCGAACCGGCGATGCTGCAGAAGTTGGGATGGGAGGCAGGGCTCTGGACTTCTTTCATGTCTTTCCAGCTCACTCCAGCTTTGAAACTAGGGACGAGGCTGTTGTTGAGGGTGTTTCTCAACGGGTTGGTGCTCAGATCCGGGCATCACGGCGAGATCATGGCCTCGTGGTCTAAATCTTGGTCTGAGGGAATGCGGATATTTTTCCATTTTGTTCCTGTTTCCTTGTCAGGTTGCTTGGCTGGCAAAACGCAAGAAGTGCGGCCCACAGTGCTTGTGATCTTGGGCCTTTGTGCTTTTGCCTGAAAAAGAATGTCATTTGGACCAAGCTGGGACTGAGGCCAACCACAGGTGGCACCACACGTGTCTCCAGAGCGAAGAAATCGTTTTCGTGAAAAGACTTTAGTGACGATCAGGTCTGAGTTCTGAAAGAAGTCTCATTCTTATTGTAGTCTGTATCGATTTGCCCTTGTTAGAAGTTTCGATTACCTGATCAATCTTTGGCAAGTACGGAGAAACAGTCTTATCATGTCTTGGACGTTCAATTTGCTTTTTTGAAGGGTTTCATGGGTTGACACCCGATGGCAGCTTCCAGCTTTTAGATGACAACATAACAGACATCAGCACATCAATCAACAACAGGAAACTGTTGCAGACACCCTGACAACTTGTCCTATGTCCATTGCGAGTCATAGTAACTTAGCGTCAGCGTGACATGTGATCCGTATCTCTTCCAGAGTGAGTAGAGTCGTAAGATGTCGCAAATAGATGCAAATAGATGTCGTATGGAGCTGAAAGTTTCTGAGCTTTCCACAGAAGCAAACGCCGCAGTCACATGCGCTTGACAGTGGCAACTAGTCGCACCTCGTTGGCGGATTTTGGACAGCTTGTGCAGTTGGCCTTGACACCAGGCTGTGTTGATCATGCTTGCACAAGATTGCGCAAAGGTGTGAGGATCATGTTAACGGCTGGGGGGATCGTTACAGTGACTTAGCACCCTAATTGAGTTTCATTGTGCTTTGCAGGTCATGCGCCTCGATTTTAGCGTTTTGAACTAGCCGAGAGTTGCAAGGCCCAAACCATAAGCAATGCCAAAGATGAACCAATCAGCCAGAATTGCATATTCTATGCTTGTTTCTAGTAGCTTCTTGCTACTAGTAGCAAGGTGCCTTGCTAGCAGTAGCAAGCCACTAGTAGTAAGGCTGCTCCGAATTTGCGGCTTTCGGTCTTTTGTCCAGTAAGCGTGTCTCGGCAGGCTGCCGCTTTGCAACTGAGCAATGAACTTCTTTAAGCTTTGCGGCAAGCGACGGACATTTGGATCGGCGTCTTGGTGCTGCAGCCAGAAAGGAACGTCCTGAGGTGAACAAAGTCCTATTCTAAAGCTCTTCATTCTTCTGAAACTTTCTTGTGCTCTTCAGCAACTAGCCTTCAGTAACTGTTTTGCATTCATCGGAAACTATTTCACTGTCCTGAGATCTGGACATATATAGTGATATAATATATTATACATATATAATATAACATAAAGTAATATAATACAATATAATATAATATAGTATAAATATATGTCTTGTGCTGTGCAGGTTTATGCACGTACATGAACCCGTGAAGTGTCGGCTCAGTGAAGGGCCGGAGGCACCCACCTCCTTTCGGGGACAGGAGGAGGTGTGTTTCCAGTTGAAGGTCCCCTGGCGGAGCCAGAGATCTCAAGATTCTGGTTGAGGGGGACAGATGAGTACAGCACTTGAGGTGCTTACAAAGTATGGAGAAGAGAGAGGGTTGGACGGCGACTTGGTCCCCTCAATCCTTCTCAATGGCCTCGAGGAGGAGACCCTTGTGACGTCTGCCATTGGAAGCGGTGGTCGTCGAGCACCTGAGGTAGCTGCGGGGAGTCGAGTTCAGAGAGTGATTCGCCTTTTCAGGTGGCCTGCCCGGGGAGGGGAAGTGTGGCGAATCGCTCAAAAGAAGCCTGGGCGACTGGCGCAGAAGTCATTAGACGAGATGACAAGGTACCTAGCAGGGCGCCAGGAACGAGGCTCATCCTCCAGCGCAGCTCGGCCTACGCAATCGCCGCAAATTGGTCACTCTGGCCATGTCCCTGGACTAACTCCTGTCCGCCCAGACCGAGAAGGCGATCGATCTGTTGATGCAGAGGCTGAAAGCCGTAGAGGCGAGGCGGTTGGAGCATGGCCAAGCACCTCGAGTTGATCCCTCCGAGCGCCGCGGCCATGACGACGGAGGAGGAGAGAGAACTCGCCGCCAAGGCAGAATTGAGGGCGCTCAAACTGAAGGAGGCAGTTCAGAAAGCAAAGAAGCCGATCAAATAGGAAGTCGGCAGCGGGTCAGGCCTGGAGCCGGGCAGACCCGTGAGTCGCAGCCAGAGTCCAGGGCCCATGAAGATCGAAAGAAGGAGCG